AATTGATACTGATGCTCTGAAGACGCTTATTGAGTGTAACCCAAGGCAACACACTCGTGAAAGCCCTGAAATTGCATGTCTCTTATGAAACAATACGTAAACATCTAAGAAATATGGGAAAACTCTATAAAGAAGGTGTTTGGGTGCCTCACGAACTCTTTGATGATCATCATTTCCAACGTGTGAATATTGCTTCGTCTCTTCAGGCGCATAATGGGCATGAACCATTTTTGGACAGTATTGTCACCAGTGATGAAAAATGGATTCTCTATGTTAATATATTTAATGCCAAAAACAATGGCTCAGTCCAAGACAAAAACCACTTCTGACCCAAAACCTGGACTCCATCCACAGAAAGTGATATTTTGCATTTGGTGAGACATCAAAAGAGTAATTCATTTCAAACTCCTCAATCCACAGCGAACTGTCAATGCAGAGATCTATAGTCAGCAACATGTGGCACGTTTGATACAACAAAACATTATAGAGTTGGGTTGGGAAGTCCTCCTCCACCACCATATTTTCCAGATATGGCACCATCAGATTACCATCTTTGTCGTTCACTGCAACACCATCTTAATAGGAAAACGTATGCAAATGTGGAAGGTGTTAAAGAGAACATCGATATGTTTTTTGCTTCAAAGCCAAGTGATTTCTTTAATCAGGGCACTAACAACCTGATTGTAAGATGAAAAAGCATCATCAATATGAGACTATTTCATTTAATAAATGTTTTGTTTTGATATATATGTTGTTCAGGATTTTCATCTAAAAAAAGCAACATTAATTTCTTGACGACCTAATATAATTGATACTTGAAACCATTGTTACTTGGTAAAACTCTATAATTACAGAATTGAAGAAAACAAAGACAACTGTATGTTCACAAATACTGGTGAAACCTTGGCTATTAATATAAGAAGTATTTGTGAAACACACAATTGTCTTTCTCTTTCCTCAATTCTATAGGTAATTAGACTTAAAAATACTGTAACTATAGATTTATAGTTGTTTATAACCATATTCAAAAGAAATCCCAATTTGAAGATTTCTTATTGTATACAAGCAAGTAAAAAAGAAAATATAAAACATGAAGATTTGTAGTTTTGTATAAGTAATTTAGAAGGTTTCAAAGTTAAAAGGTTTGGGCTATAGACAAGAAGATACAGTAATTTTAAGATTTCTGGACAAATATAAGTGAGTCTTGAAATTATATATTTACAAATAAGTCTTAAATATATCTTAATTTACAGATTTTCTGTATATATTTAAAACATATCTAAATTTGAAAAATGTCTGGGTTTATATAATAGCTTTAGTTAAAAAATAGGATATGTTGACGACTCCTCACTTCATCATTAGAATTCTGGTTAATTATCAATAAGCTTAGAATATAAAATGTTTTTGACTCACATGTTGGGGTGTTGACAGTGTATAGAACATAGAATCAGAGAAAGCTGAAAGTGGTCCTTGGGGCTCGCCAACATTTGGTGATAAACTTTCAGAATTGTGTTGATGGAGTTGAGATAATATGGTGGATGGACTTTGAGAACTGCTGTACGAAACTGCTTTAAGACTTTGAGGTAATTCTTGTAGCTTCACTTGTCCTAAAAGTTAGAATATTTGTGTAAAATATGAGAATGAAATAAAACATCACAAACAGTTATTAAAATAGATAATGTGATCTTGATGTATACATTGTGGTTAAGATTTATAAGCATGTTAAAAAATGTCTATATAAAACTTTAAATTTAGCTCACACTTTTTTAGAAATTTATAATTATAGAATGGCTAATGCCACATTTGAAAACATATTTCCTGCTATCAGTCATATACATGGCATGCACAATGAACAATATTTTGTTGTGTCAAGTATGTTGAAATATTTTAGTCTTGAATACTCATATTTTGATTCTGTGTAAAATGATATGTATTTTTGTATGTAAACATATTAATTTCTTGTATTTCAAACTATTGTGCATTATTTCAGCAGATAATAATTATGTACGCAAAGGGTGAAATTTTGAACAAAGTTTCATTTCTTTTGTTATAGAAAGTAATAATACAAACTTATTTCATGTTTATCTCGATACTAAACAGTTTTGAGGGGGGGGGGGGGTGATACTAAATTTACATTATAACTGGGATAGTAACTAATATATATGTTAAGAATTTCCACATTTTTAAACGTATGTGACTTCAGGACTAGCCTTTAAGTTTTCCAGAGTTCTTATATACCACTTGTTTATCATCTATATTTAACTTTTTTGTTTAAGTACTCTTAACTAGTTGAAGTGAATCAAATTGCAACATATTAATACAGTAGAATTAATATACTTCAATAGGCATACATAAACACAAAACTTTTCTGAATTACCACCTTTAGAAAAAGGTAAATTTGAGTATAGTGTACCTTGTTGCCTGTTCAAAGAACCACTGTCCACTGTGTCTAATGGTACTGTACTACCAATGTGATGGTTAGTTGTACTTGACTGTCCAGGTGGAGACAGGGACTTCATTGTTGGTGAAATGTCTGAAATAGTATAGCAAGACACAACATTTTCTACAACTGCAGGTTTTGAGATTGCAGAGTTACCTATTTGATTAGGCATACAAGCTTCCACAATCTGAGCTGTTGCTTTAAAATTCTTCTGTACAGAATCACTGACCACAATGGTATTTTTTTCATGATCATAACTTGTAGGACCATTGCAGTGAAGCATAGACCTTGGATTCATATGTTGGTTCTGGTGTCTAAAACCATTGTTTTCTGGTTGCAGTGGGTCTGAAAAACAAACTATCTGACCAGAATTATTAACAGAATTTAATTCTGGATAACTGCATTGACCAGCAGGGCTGGTCATCACTGGTTTTGAATTACTGTTATAGTTTTGACAATATTCTAAATTCTTTTCCTGGGCTTTCTTTTCAGAGTCTGTGAAATAATGCATTTCATTAACTGCTCCAGGTGAGAGACTCCTATTATAAGAAGTTTCAGAAGACTGGATATTGATATGTGAAGGATGATCTTCTTGGCTGAGATAACGTCTATTGGGAAAATATAAACTGACGTCACTTGAAACCTATTAATCAACATTTCTTGCTTTAATGAGAAATACATTTACTGAACTAATTTAACAATGGATTATCAAACAAGTTCTAGCATTCATTAAATATATATATATATATATCCTATAAAGAACAATATGTCTAAAAGACTATCAGTTACGATCTACCATTGATTAGCTTATGCTTCACCTGAGTTTATCTATATAACAAAAACAACAAACAAAACGTCTATCAGTTTCATTCTATCATTGGTTAGCTTGTGTTTCACCTAAGTATATCAATATAAGAGGAAAACAATAAACTAAAAGTAAATTAGTTTAATTTTATCATTGATGATTACAACATTGCTATTTGAGGACTTCAAAGGTTTAAACATTTTTTTTCTCTGCAAACTCTACTTTTTGGAAAACCAGTTTTTGAATAATTGCCAAATGTAGCTTTTTTATTTCCTCAGATGTGCTACTGGAAAGGGTGAATTCACAATTCTCTATTCTCAAAACAGTGAATGAGGAATTACCTAATCCATATAGTATCCTTGCTGTCATTTCTTGAAGGAACAGGAGGTCTAGAGGTTTCAAGATACTCAGAAAATCCAACTTGTTTTTGTTTTGGTACATCCAAATTTGACTCCACCCGGACATGTTTTGGATTGATATGAAGTGGTTCATAGTAGTTAAATACCTGAAAAAATAAGAATTGTTTATAGAGATTATTTGGAGAAAAAGTCATAGATTAGTTCTTCAAAAGATATTCTTTAAATGTAGCAAAATTAAAATAGACAATTAATTTGGATCTTTTTCCAATCAAATTTTCAGCTAACAAAGCACTATGGATCACTACAAATCAGTTATAAAAATAATCCAAGATTAGAAAGAGTTCACTTTCCAAACACATTGAAGTTGCTGTTTTTTTTACTTTTTTTTATCTGACTTAAAGCTTCCTAGAAAATTAACTGTAAACTAGAGTTTAAAAAACTTCTGGCTTATAATAAGCATAGAGAACACTTGCCTATTAACTTGTATCTAAACCTTTCTTTATTACAAATGTAGAAAGCCAAATGAAGCTAGTTGGGTCCAACCACTGAGGTTTGTGAAGTGTTTAAATATTTTTCAAAACCATTTAAAGAGATGCACAAAAATTTGAAATGCATTGACTTATCAAAGATGTATTTAACCAGCCAACTTAAAAGTTGAAATGTATAAAATTGTTAAAACCTTTAAGAAAAATCATAATAAAACTTGAAATTTATCAAATTACTACAAGTTTGTTTTGGCTAGCAATATTATAAAGTGAAATTTATAAACACACTAGCTCTAAGCCTGTCCTATGATTGTGAATGGTGATCAATTTTTCATTTAAAAAGTAAATTTTTGTGTATTTTTGTTACAATCAAATCTTCTTCTGGATAAAGCCTTATATATTAAACCATGTGAAAAAACTAGTTCTTGAAGAAATATTCCTACATGGTTAAATGTTTGAACCTGCAATTCAATAATTTTGATTTAATCTATAATTATGTTAGTATTTTTCTGAATATTCAAAGAGTCTGTTGTAAGTATGATATATAAGAAACAAATATAGTAATATAAAAGGTAACATGAAATCCCAACTTAACTGGTATTGAATGTGAGACTTCCACATTATAGTCAAGTATTATAACCACTGTGATGAATGAACAAATTTAAACTATCGTGCTATTTTGAAACATTGTAATATCTTTCTATAAATATGATGAGTTAATGATCAGGAAAGTTATAAAAAATCTCACTCAACTGTGATTTGAACTTGAGACTTCCGCTTCAGACAACCTACTGAGCCAATTTAATGGAGAGTCGAGTGTTACTGACAAAGGGAGCATTATGAACAGGGAATACCTTTTATATATATATATATATATCATTGTAAATAAGTACTGTTGTTGTTGCAATATGTCCTTCCATCCCTTATTAGAAGTAATGATACCAGTCTATGTATTCTCCACAATACATGTGTTGCTAGTGGCATGAAAGAACATACCACATTACAATAGGAAATGGATAGCATCACAAACATAATACTGAAACTACATTATGCATGAAAGAGTAATCCCAAACAGTTAAAATTTTTATAATAAAGCTGTTTTATGAACAAAACCATAAACACAACATAAACTGTCACTAATAGTCAGAGTATCAACTGATGAATTAATGTATTGTTATTGTTGTGAGTTTTCCTATTTTGGTATTGCATACTTCTATATAGATTGGTATTTTAAATAAGGTATATTGATTACTGGGTCAGTTTCTTTTTTTATCTATGTCAGAAGATTACTTTGATCAGAAGTTACAAACAATATTAGATAAATAAATTATGTTTACAATCTTGTTTGAAAATGTAATAATACTAAATAGATAAAAAAAATTGGCTTTGAATAAATCTATTTAGGTTGAAAATAGAAAAAAAGGAAATTTATAAGAACATTGGCAAAAGTTGGTATTTATAATGAGGTTAGTATCCACAATGTACAAGTTCTACAACTGCACTACTTCTCACCTCAGAATCTGAATTTTTTGCTGGTGATTTTGGTGGAGAAGATAATGGACTTCGAGAATTCTTAGCCTGAACATCCCTGAGCTCAGCAATTACTTGCTGCTTATGCAGGAGCTGTTCTTTCAGAATGGGCCCTTCTTGCTTGGCAATGTGTCTTTGCCACTGCTTTTGAAACCACATGTCATCCGGTGAAACTATGGGTCTAGAATTTTAAAAAAATCTCAGGAGGATACTGAATAAACTAAGTTATAATTGACATAGATCACACAATTTTATAATAACATGGATATTTATTATTAATTTACAAACCATACTTCTAGATAAAAGAAAAACTCACCTATTAGATTTCAGACCTTCAGATAAAATACTGTCAGATGTCCTTGTGATGTCATTACAAGGCTTAGAAGTATTTTTTAATACAGCAGGCACTTTGCTCAGGGAACTCCGTTCTGATCTCATGGTGTATAGACAGGGAGGCTCACTAGCATTTCTTACATGACCTCTGTTTGATACTGCAGGAACTACATCTGCAAATACTGGAGACGAATGTTTTATACTCCCATTTATATTTGACATGTTGAACTGTACATTTTCTCTGGGAGAGAAATACATATATTCTGCTGAATTTTGTTTTTCTGGATAAGTGGAACTAATCATTGATGAAGAAACAAGACCAAAGTTTTGTGGTTGTACATTTTTTGATGAATGTAAGTCAGGAAATTTTTCAGTTTCTTCTATCAGGCTTCTCATCAGTTCATCCAGCTCAGCTTGCTGAGATACCGGGATCGAATTGCCTTGTTTTAAATCACCTTCAATTCTAACTTGTGGGTTGTGAACTTCTGCCTCTATGATGAAAATAACCAAATTTTATAACTAATTGTGAAAAAAGTTTCTTAAATGCAACGTCTGAGCTTTATTTATTGCTCTGTTAAGAGTTCAGAGTCAGATATACAATAAATCAATTTAAGTTATTATTATATTAATTATATCATTTTTCACATTTAGTACATTATTGTAATTGTTGTCTCAGATTCATAAAATAAAAGTATGACTAAAAATGGAAAGAAGTAATTATGTATAACATTGATTTATGACTGTAGTCAACTGATTCTGAACACTTATGTGATGTAGGATTAGGGTCATTGGTAAAAGTAGTTTCAATTTAGGATGGGATGATAAGTTAGAGTGTGTTGCTCTTGACACTGGTGCACTGTTATCTGAGTAGTCTGAAAAACTATGCTACTAAAATGTTCAATGGATGTAGAATCGAACATATGAAATAAAAATATTTTAGTTTCAATCAATTTTTCTAACTTGCAACTACAACATTACTTTCTCAAAGATTGGGCTTCTTGAGGATGATTTTTCTAATAAGATTGTAGGGGAGATGGGACATCAGTGGATAGAAATTGTATGTTTCCCTCACATGCAGTAAGCATTAAATGGCAGTTAATACTTCTCAGGTGAAAACGACAAATAGTTATGTTGGATACATTAATTATTACAGCATCATTTGTTTTCATGAACTGTGTCAATAATTGGTACTTTCATGACATATAAAAAAGTCCCAGTGATCCACTGTGCTCTGACCCTGCAGTAGGGATGAATGAATTAGCTTGCAGAGTGAATCAAGAAAAGGTGTTGACAAAATTAAGTTATTCATGAATAAATTTTAAGAAAATGCATTGAAACAATCTGCAAAATATTACACTTTACTCTGACTTCAGAAACCTATTTCTTAGGCTGCAACACCTAATAGAAATATGAAATGACATGAGTGAGGAACAACGTACACTGTTACAGAACCTTCATAGTACTAAGGCTCAGCTTAACAATTTATAAACAAAAAAAACTGGAATTCTGAAATTAAAATCCAGCTTCATGTTGCTCACAATTTCCATAGTTAATATTTACTAGGAATAACAAATGATAAATTCCTACACAGATCCTTCACAATAATAGGATTCTCTTGATGAAAATAATCAACCCTGCTCCAGTCATGGTCATGTGATATAAGTATCTACATCCTTCAAGGTGTATTGTCTTATAGACCTTACCTGTGGTCATTAATTATCCTCATATCACTTGATCAATGATCTTGACATAACTTTTGTATCTTACAGCATCTATGGAATATGAACAGTTATACCAACTATGAAAAAATTATTTTTATGGTTAAAAAAATATTTTTCCTCATCTCTTCAAGATAAGCTGCAATTTATTGTTTTCGAACAATACAGTTGAAGGACTTGCCCAATGGCACCAAATGGTGACAACATCACAGAATTCCTCTCAATAGAAAGTTAAATATATCCCAGTCTCTCCTACTTAGACACATCGTGAAACATATCCAGATGTAAAAACATGTTTTTTTTTGTTGCTTAGTTTTTTACTAACTAATCTGTGCAGTCATATTAGGAAATACCATGACTTAACACACTCTGTGTTCACCAATGATGTACGAGCGTTACCATGGTACATATCTGCTGAGTTGATTTGCATGTGAATAAACATTATTTTGACTATTAACATTAAAGAAGAATGGTCAATACTATATCCAAAGTATAATCAATATGTGTATAAATGTATTGTATTTAATTTAACAATATATATATGCACTAGCAAAACCTGTGGGTCTATGGCCCACATTTATAAGACCTCTATAATGTAAAATTAATGCTTGAACTTCTATTTTGCATTATTTCAGTTTAATTATCATTGCTGCCATAATGTAATTTTAATTTCTTTAACCAAGTTACAAATGGTAATTAGTAGGCATATTTATTTATATGCTCTAATGTAAATCAATGCCAAATTTGAGGTCAGCTTTTGGAGAATCCCCATAAAAGTGTTTTTGCAAAATACCTGAGTTCCCTAAGGAGTTGGGTGAAAAGTTTTAACTTTGTGCAAACCTTGGGGTTGAGACGGTTTGTTTGGGGCAGTCCAGCAGTTTAAGAGAAGAGGTTTTCAGGAAATCCCTGGGTTTCCCAAGGTATATAGTAAAAAATTTTACCTTTGTACAAACCTCAGGACCAAAATGATTCATTTGGTACCACTTACAAGTCAGTGCAACCAGCTGTGTAGGAGGAAATATGTGACATACTGACACATAATTTAATGCTATATTATTAATTTAAATACACCAAATAAAAATGTTGTAGAGCAGACAGCTGCAGTTCATGTAATAAAATGCAAATAATTGTTTTTTGCTTATCAAACAAAGACATAAACACATATTTTAAATCACACAGTTTGTTTATTTCATAAGTTTTGTATAAAGCACCACAAAGACTATCTGCACATGGCTATCCCTAGATTAGAGGGAAGGCAGTCACCATTAACTCAAGGTAAAATAGTTGGATTTGACCATCACTCTCACCTATGATCCTACAGAACAGGGCATGTTTTTCATGCAATAATCACAAACCATGAATCCTTTGATTCACATTCTATGCATTCTAACTACTAGGCTATGGGCCTGAATCATTAAGAAAAAAACATGTACATAGCAGTAATAATTCATGTAAAAACTAATGAAAATAACATGTACATAGCAGTAATAATTCATGTAAAAACTAATGAAAATAACATCATAGCAAATTAACACAAATAATAACTTAAAAATCTTACCTATAATAGAGCAAGAATGCTTACTGCTATAATCATTAATGGAGACAGGTGATTGGATTTGACTACCAAAACTTAGCGGAGAATAGCATCCATGAACATCAGATGAAGAAGAAATCCCAGAATCCCTACTTGTAGTATGAGGTCCATCTGGCTCATTATACCTCTCATGGTTCGGTGAAATATTCCTCATTATTGAGTTTTTCTTTATTATTGCATAGAGGCTACCATCCACAGGCCCAGCAGTATGGTTTACTGTAAAAGAATTGTTAGTGTCTATTCATGAAACATCTTCATTGGGCTTGTTTGGAATGCTTTATAATACTGGTGTGTTAAGTTACTCATAAGAATTCCTATAATATTCCACTGTTAGAAGAATCATAATAACCCATTACAAATAGTCCTATAAATACTTACTATAAGGAGTCCTATAATAACCCATTACAAACAATCCTATAATAATCCACTGTTAGAAGAATCATAAAAACCAATTACAAATAATCCTATAAATACCTACTCTAAGGAGTCATATAATAACCCATTACAAATAATCCTATAATATCCCACTGTTAAAAGTCTTATAATAACCCATTACAAGTAGTATTATAATTACCCACTGTAAGAAGTCTAATAATAACCCCTTGTAACTTCTAGCATTATATACATGGGAAAAAACAACAACTACAATGAATAAGCAGTAAGATGCACATTTGTTTCTTAAACATTCACTAAATATGGAATCAATCATATACCAATGTTTAACATTTTATGAGAACTATCATATTTACTTTATTCACTTTTTCATTAACGTTTCAATTTTATTAATGGTTATTTTTTGTTTTTTTTTGGAAGTACATTAACAACTAATTCATAAGTTTATCTAATATGGACTTCTACAACAAATGGTACTAGAGAATATTTAAAAGTCATGCACCAAATTAAGTTAATATAGTTTTGAAGACTACTATCACTTACCTTCTTCTTCACTAGTTGTAGATTCTACAACAAAGTTTTCATAAGAATTACGCAAACAGTCAGCTGGCATTTTAGCATTGCGGACAAAACCATTTCCTGAAATTCACATGTGCTTTTCAGAAGTGAAGGACATCAGAATATTTGTTAATATATATTAAAAATAACGTACAATAACACATACATATTCTTGTTAATAAAGAAATTATTAGAAAAAATTGTTTATAAAACATTCTGAAACAACTCGTTGTACAATAAATGTGACAGATGATTCATTAAAAAATATAAATGTAAGTACGATATTACCTAAACAAACTCTTGATTGATAATTACTATAGCTGTATTAATAAAACAGATAGAAAATGTGCAATACATGACAATTCATTATGTAGCATTGGAGTTAATTATTTTCATTCAATAAATTATCATTAATTAAGCAACATTTTATTATAATTATGATACCAGTAGTAGCATTTACATACAAGACAAACGAAGACAGAATCATTTTGGTGTGCCAAAAATTGTTTTCTAAAATATATATATATATATATATATAATTGAAGTATACATATTCAGATTTGAAATACTTGTATTTTGTTTTAGTCACTCAAAAGTTTCAGATCTTTCTTTCACATTTTATTTCTAAGATTTCAAACAAAATTATTCTAAAAATCATGTCCTAGTTACTAAGAATCAATGTTCAATATAAACCTTAATATATATATATGCTTTCTAAAAGAAGTTCAAAAAATGGTGTTATTTCAGTGTTAAATATCTATGTTGGTTGGTTGTTTTTCTAGAGCAAAGCCACACTAGGCTATCTGCTGTGTTTCCCATGGGGAATCAATATTATTTTTGTTTGTTTGTTATTAAGCTACACAAAGGGCTATCTTTGCTCTGCCCACCATGCAATTGAAACCCGGTTTCTAGCAGTAAAGGGCTGCAGACATACCGCTGTGTCACTGGGGGGCTGGGGAATCGAACCTCATATTTAGCTTTGTACAGATGTTTATGTATTGTTAATTATATATCTGAATATTGAAGTTAATTAAGCTCATCAGTAATTTCTTTAAAAAATATATATATTGTTGCGTCAGCGAGGTCATGTGACTAGTGTCACGCCACCTGCTTTCTAGAACTATCCCGTTCCTTCGGGAGTGCTCTAGCATTTACTAGATATAGGGTAGTCTGGTATATATATATAAGATGGTGACAACGTGACGAGACAGCGTGTGTAGGTAGTGAGTAATTGAACTGCAGTCAGAGAGTATTGTTGAAGTTAACGCGTTTGTTTTAGCATGATTGTTGAAATTAAGTGTATCGTAAAGTTATATTCAGAAAGAATAAACCAGTTTTATTTAAGAAAGAACTTGTGTCGCTAAAGTTCGTGGGAACGAGGTTACGGAAAATTAATTAACAAACAGAGACGTAACAATATATATATAAAAGCTCAACTCAAGAGTTTTTGAGAAATAGTTTCTTCTTTGGTATATGTGAGCAGGATTGGGTAAAGACAGAACTGTTAATGGAAGATTCTAACATTTAAAAAACAGTATTAGTGTTAACTGTGTTGTTGCATGACCATTATAAACTTACCACTCAAATGGTAAGGTCATTAGTATAGAAAAAGTCTTTATTCAGGTATATTAAAATAATTTTTCTAAATTATCATGAACTTTTGCATATATTCATGACATTTTTGTTAGTTGGATGTTGAAAGATCGTATACATGAACCAATATTTTTAAAAAGGTAATGATTACATATTGCAACTTAAATCTCAAGCTAGTATGTATGCATTTCTGTATGAACATTTAAGATGTTTGCCTACCCAAAAAAAAGTAATAAAAAAAACCTGTACAAATTGATTTGAGATGGTTAGCATTATAAGTAAACTAGTATGATGCATGTAACCTAATAGATTGTGGGATACTGTACAAAGGCTTTTGTCTAACTAGAGAAATAAGATATCTACATAATTCTGTGTCCTTATCTTGAATTCATGTAACCTAACGGATTGTGGGATACTGCACAAAGACCTTTGTCTGACTATAGAAACAGGATATTTAAACAAATTGTGTTTTGTACGTTAATCTAATAGATTGTGGAATACTACATAGTCTTTTGTCTGCACTATAAAAACAGGATATCTACACAATTCCTGCCCCACGAATCAACTATGATTTCCAACCAATTAGAAGGTTGATAGTGGATAAATACACAATGAACAATATTCATTGCTGTATGAAGCATTTTTGGGGTGGTCAGGCAACTGCCATTGCTAGAGGGATCTGGAGGCATGCTCCCCAGAAATATTTTTAAAGTTTAATGCTATGAGATTTAATCTTGAGCCATTTAACTACAATTATTGCATACATACAACAAAATGTATTGAATTGAAAGAAGCAAGTTTTAATACATAAGTTGTAGCTACACATGCCATGAAAAAGTGGTCAGGCCATGGCATGACTGGCCTTACTGCTTCCTATGGCCCTGCTATTTGTAAATAAAAATTTATCATATTTATTCAGCTGTGCATTTGTTTCTTTTCATTGCTGTCCATGTTTGAAATATTATTCTACATACTAATTCATGAATCTGCATTTTGTGGATACTTTAAACTTACCTCTTGAATTTAAGTATATCTGAATACCACAAAAGGATTATTTCATAAAAATAAAATTTTAAAGGGACAAAAAGGAACTTATTAGCTCATCAAGGATGTTCCTTCAAGCTCCCAATTATAACCACCCCTTACTACTCATGTATTCATCCAATCTTTTCTTGAACTCAGTTAAGTTTTCTGCCTCTACCACTCTTGAAGGCAGCTCATTCCAAAAGCCAACCACCCTGTTTGAAAAGTAATACTGTCTAAACTGCAGATGACTCCTATGCTGCCAAAATTTGAATTTATGATCCTTTGGCCTATTGTTTTCATTGCTGAACACAAAAAAGTTTGATGGATCTATATTATCAATACCCTTGATAATCTTAAACACCTCAATCAAATCCCCTCTGACCTTTCTTCCCTCCAGAGAAAACAAGTTTAGAGATTTTAGTCTCTCCTCATAGGACAATACCACCATCCCAGGTATCATCCTAGTGGTTCTTCTCTGAATCTTCTCCAACAATTCAATGTCCTTCTTGACAAAGGGAGCCCAAAACTATACATAGTACTCTAGATGAGGCCTTACAAATGATCTATACAGTGAAACAATAATATCCCTTGTCTTGTATTAATGTTTCTATAGATGTTACCCAAAATCCTATTAGCACTATTGCTAGCAACAGTACAAGATAAGTATGTTATTGCAAAGTGATTGAAAGAAAATGTTTGTAGTAAATAGCACATTTATATTTTAAGTGTTATGTTTAATATGTTCTCACAGCTTCTGATTCAATTTATCATATAAGTGATCAAGAAGCTTCGTTAAAATTTAACAGGGTTAAAGTATGATCCAAGAGAGACCTTTTTTTATTGAAAGAAACAATGGAAACTTCAGGAAAGATAAATTTTATATCACTATTGGGTTTTTTTTCAGAAAAGTTAAATTGTTTACAAAATTCTATAGAATTTTCACAGATACAGTGAACAGAATTTCTAAATTTGTTTATTCTTGTTTAAGTGAGAACGAATCTAAGCAGTGATGATTCAGAATAAACAATAGATTTCTCTCAAAGAAAGAGTTTCACAAGTTGTAGTACAACAATGTTAAAATTCAAGATACAAGTTTGAAAGGAAGAGATTTCTCATCGATACAATAATGGTGTATCATAAATTATAAATATCGAGTACTCTTTTACTTACATGATAGAAAGGACAGAAGACACTTAGTATCAATTACCAGAAAATATTTAGTGACAATTAGCTCTGAACAGGAGTGGCAGTAACATGTAAGTATACAAGCAAAATGCATTTATTTGGGAATATATTAGATAAAGTAAGGTGAGTTGAAGTGTATGTTTGGATAATGGTAGAATTAGGATACAAAAATGGAAGTAAGGAAATACTTGAAATTTGAGTCACTCCTATTTGAGGGAGGGCTTTAAGTAATACTGGTAGAAAATAGAGGATTCCAGATGTCAAATGAGAATGAATAAGATTGGAGAGGAAGGAGATGGAAATGAAATAACAGAAATTATAAGACAGAGGGTACAAATGCAACACAGAGATGCAACATGTATTTCACTAAAAAAGAAACATTTCAATTTAGCTTAAACAGAATAAACAATTCACACACCTTTGTAGTCATCTGAGTGAAAAGAAAACTGAAGTTCTACTTTACCATCACTTGGAAACCTGAAATCTATACAAACACAATTATTATCAACTACAAGTTGAATTTAACAAATGTTTTAAACAATACTGAGGCCAGAAATAGCTAATCTGATAATATTTACAGAGATATTTTTTGTACAACAATAATTACCAGTGACTGATAAAATACAAAAGCAATTTTAAACAGTAGTGTCTATGTGTGATAGTTTTAATTTTAATAACAAAAAATTCAAATAAGGGCTTTAAAAATATTGATATTAGTACAGCTTACCTGGCAATATAGAACAACCTGAAATTTATAACTTTACAGACTTGTATATCTTTCAGTTTATTTATAAATTTAAAAAACTAAAAGCACTAATATACAACGTGTAAAAATAAATCTTAAATTTACTAAATTTTTGTCTGCTCATTCTAACTTTAACCACATATAAATATAGGACATAGAAAACAGTGTGAATAATTAGCTAAAATAAATATTTTCATGGGTACTGTACAGCACTTAATGTGATAACTGTGCTGCTAGGTTGATTTAATAACTAAGGAATATTAAAATATGTAGCCAGAAGTGCACAAGTAGTAGATTAAAAGGACTTTTAAAATTCACCAGAAACAGCATCATCCAGTTCTTCCTTCCGGAAGACCACATGCTTCTGATCTAGAGCCATAGTATTGAACTGAACCCGAAACAGTGAAGATCTTCCAGCTGGCTTTTGTTGGTTGTGATAACACTTGATTAGTATATCACCATGAAGGGGCAGATGTGGTTCTATCGTGATGATGATTTTTTTTGCTCGTTCCATGACACTACTAAAAATAATAAATAATGCACAAAAAATTAGGAGAGAAAAAAGGAGTTTTAAAAAGACAAAACGATTTTAATAATTAGACATAAAATGTTATTGTGTGAGATAGATTAAACCCTCTTGTCACAATATTTTTAGTTATACAAGTTAATGGAGAACTTATAAACACAAACTAAATAACGCTTAATATAATTTCAAACAAAGATTAAAGAAGTTTCAGAAACTATTAAGAAAAACAATTATCCATTATGTTTTCACAATTATCCCATTATGTTTTCAAATGCTATTATTTTATAATATTTTTGTACTTAATCTGTTTAAAAGAATTATAGCAAAACAATAGACCCCAGCAATTCAGTGATAAGGCTTATAATGCTAAAAACCAGGCTTTGATACCTGTGGTACATAAAGTACAGATAGCCTTTTGTGTTTAGCTACAAAGAAACAAACAAACAAAAAAACAGATTAATTTCTATGGGGTTTTGAGTTTGTTTTACTTCACCATACAGTAACCTAAGTTAACTTAGGTATGTGAATAATGTTATGACATTTTGCCGAATACATTATTTGATATTATACACTGGACCAACTGCTTAATTAATGATTATATGTATATGTTAAACATTTCTTTTCGTTTTCACTAGAAAAAGAAAAGAAATCTTTAAATATATATATATATATATATAATCAATCAATTAAGGAGTTTTTTTTTTCAGATGACCTACACAATTATGATAACAAAGTATTGTATTTATTAGTTTATCAGAACAAAATCCTCAATATATTATGCAGCTTTCTTAATTTTTGCTCTTTTAACATATTTGTTTAACATTAGTATCTTGAGCTAAATGTCCCAGTGAAATAGTACGACTTACTGATATATTTCTGAACAGGTGTATATGGACAGCACTGTACTAATTCTTTGTGTGTGATACAAAAGATGTTGAAAGATTAGCAATAATTATAGAAAGCCTTATGGAAAAACAAACTTTACTTTAAACAATATTATAAAAGATGACAATAATAACTTAATTTTTGAAACTAGTCATGAATAAAAATTAATTGACAAGTAAAAATATGAGTTTATTTATTAAATATATAAAAAAATCTAATTCTAATTAATTTTGTTTGGATATATGACATCAATTAATAAAAAACAATTTTATTATTTCTTTATTATGGAAATTTTAATTCATGCAGTTATGAAATCATGTGCAGTTTTTGAATAATCAAAAAGTATAGTTCAGACACATGTAAGCCTTGTGCAATAACATTTTCCCATTAAAATATTCTTTCCTGTATTCACCCATAGTTAAGTTTTTACTTACTATACTCCTGATGTATAAACTGGCTTCATTCCTTGATAAATCTTGACAAATGGCCGACAACCTATGAATGTGAAAAAAAAAAGGTTTGTGAAAAATTAATAATTTTATTAAAATAGAATGATCTATGTTATTTAAAAAATAGTGCAATCAGCAGAATTTGTCTTTCTGTTTGTATGCATGTGTCAATTAAACTCAGAGTATTTATGACATTTAAATGATTTCTTGTTAAATCATATGTAGTACAAAAGTGTTATTGGTAATTAATGTATTCTGAAAATAAAGGTCAGCCTGAAGGTCGTTGTATATTATTATATATACATCGTTGTATGTATATATATACATCATATAAGGTTTATTACGAAAGCTGGGCATATGTTTCTGGATTATATGAAACTGAAAGCACTAATGGTGAGGGTTTGACAGATCAAAGTCATCTATCAATGACCCGATGAACATCTGTGCATGATAAAATTTGGCTTAAAAGAATAAATGCACACATATTTATTATTTCAATGTTCATGGGCAGCAGAGTAGTAGTAGTAAGTTGTTAGTTGCATCATGCGAGGTGTTGTGTAAAATCTGTTACTGTTTCATTTTGTGTTACTTTGTAGACACCAATCTATAACAGGACCTGATAAATCTGAATAACAAATAAATCTATGACTAATGTCAATGAATACATTGTATACTGCTGCAATAAAATTGAACTAATCATAGAATTATAGATGGAGATCCACAGAGTTCTAACTGGCTTTTTAAAACATTTTTTTAAACTATTAATTCACCAAATTTTGAATGGGTTCATGACTTTGTTAATTGCAAGGTCCCTAAAAACGTATGAGTCACACCATAAGTTTTAGACAAAAATGGCATCCATATTTTCATTAATCCTAATAATTACTTTTGGGGTCTCCTGTGAATTTTACTAAGAAAATAAGCAATTTCACTAAATGTTTTTTGCCAATTCTTTACAGTAAGTGTTGTAACATAAAAGTGTGTTTACTAAATATAATGTAATATGTGGAGCTCCTAAGTAATGGCCATGCTAGGCCTAGTGGTTAGGGTGTTCAACTTGCAGTCTGTGGATTGCAGGTTAGAATCACATTACTGAAAATGCTTGCTCTTTCAGCCATGGGGACAATATAAGATGATGATCAATCCCTCTGTTCAATTAGAGAAGCCCGACAATTGGCAAGGGGTGATGTTGACTAACTGCTTCCTCTCTTGTCTGTCGTTTCAAAAGTAGTGACAGCTAATACAGATAACCCTTAAGTATCTTTGCAAGAAATCCAACAAAAAAACATGAGTAATAAACAGTATAAAATAACATAGTCATATGAAGATTAAACTCAAAACATTCTTTGTTTTTGGATATAATGGAATAATATTTCAGATGAACACCATAAAATAAAAACAAATTGCTTAAATTTTGTCTGAAGAAACTGCTTTAACAACAGAACTTTTCTTTAATAACCAGATGAAGTGTGCATTTTTGTTATACAACTGGTTATTTGAATAATCTGTATTTAGCTTTCATCTGTTAACTTTTAATACTTATAATGCACTAGATGCCATTTATAGATAAAAAGGTTTTAGAAATGTCTTTAAAAAGTATAGAAATATCACAGAAGTTAAATAACTTGAAAATGAAGAAAATATAATTTGTTTAAATATCCTGATAAAGTGCTGCTTCACCTAAAATATGAAACACCAAAAGATATTGATTTGAAAAGGTTTTCTAAATATATTTTAAATAATATACTTAATAATAACTGTTTCTGTTATTATAAACTATCTATGGATAATTTCTTATGAATAGAACACTCAAACCTGCTGCAAAAAATATATGTATGGCTAGATAATTCTTTCTTTCTTTAACACTGGGTTCCCCTTGACAATAAAATATTCTTGAAACTTCATAAAAGAACAACTTAGATGTTACTCAACATTTCTCATTGAACCATTGTCATACAGAGTTTATGAGATGTGTATGAAATAGAAAAGACTAAAGTGGAAAAATAAGGATTTTGTGTTTTATCACTTCTTTATTTTAGAGATATTTTGGAAAATATCAGTAACTATAAAAATCTATTGAAAAATATATTAATCATTCCATGTAACTGTACCTTTTGGTTCAAAGTTTGGGATTCCATGTATTATGATATGCTGAAGATAAAATACGTTGTCATTTGTTCTTATTGTTGAGGCTAAAAGTCCTGTAAAGTATTGAATATACCTGAAGAAAAAGAAGAACACTTTTTAACATCAAAACAATTTTCAATTACTTAGGGTTATTGTACGATTATAGTTTATGAAATTTTGAAGAAGTGCTATATTCAATATGATAAATATCACATACTCATTGAATCTTTTCCAAAATACTACTGGCTGACTAAACCTTTTTCAAAATACCACTGACTGATTGCATCTTTTTCAAAATACTACTTGCTCATCCAATCTTTTTTTTTTTCTAAATTGTATAATGGTATTCCATCTTACTAACTAAAATACTGTATTATACAGAAAATAGTTCATTAACTGTTATTAGAGAGTTATTAAAAATGACTCAGGTAGTCTTTTACAAGCATGCATAGAAAACTTGAACAAACTATTGTTTATTTGAGGCATTATGGGAAATGTGTTGCGATGCTCCCAGGCAGTATCATTGCACTTTTGTGGTCATTCACCATCACATAATATCAGATGCTAGAGACTGAGGAATGCATTGAAAAAATTCTTAAGTTGACCAATCAGTACAGCAGGTTTTTTGTCTGTAGCTTTAAGCTTGTGTTCGTGAATTAAGTTTTTACTGTATCGTAAACATCAGCTAAACAACAACACATAGTAGCCACCTGTAAAACTCCTGTATCTCTTGGTAACATATCCGATGTGTGGATATAGGCCAATAAGATAAAATACAAATTAATGTAACATCACTAATAATACCTGAAGATAAGATGACATAAAACTATTCCCAAGTAATTTCTTTCTGAAAACATATTCATATAAACACACATAAAATTTATGTTTATGACACCACTCTAGTGAGAAATTGACTCTAGGATAGATAGTAAACAAAGTATTTTTAAAGAGTAACATAAAAGCATCTAAAATCCATGTTTGTATATTTTTTAAATTTTGAAATATATTTTTAGTAGATGTTGGATATATTCTTTGATCCTAGCGCACATATAAAAAAGCTAAAATATAGTTGAAAATGATATTGAAAATATTTTATCTTTATGTACAGTACAGTACAGGGACATTGATATGTCAATGATACATTTATATCTTTGCCAAATGTATGTTAACAATACATATTAAACTAACTAAAGGGCTACTGTAAGTGTATATTAAACTAATATATAAACCATTGTAGTGTATAGGTTAAACTGATGAGAAACTAAGGGATATTCAAACCTTTGGAATAAGTGTAATATATATATATAAATGAAGTGTTTTTAGTATGATCACTGTGTATAAAAAGCAACCTTGAGTTTCTGATTGAATGTTGTTGTTTTTCATTATAATATATATATTCTGTTCTTTGAGTTGGAACCATTTGGCTTGAATTTCTGATTGAATGTTGTTTTTCATTATAATATATATATATATTCTGTTCTTTGAGTTGGAATCATTTGACTTGAGTTTTTGATTGAATGTTGTTTTTCATTATAATATATATATATTCTGTTCTTTGAGTTGGAATCATTTGGCTTGAGTTTCTGATTGAATGTTGTTTTTCATTATAATTTATATATTCTGTTCTTTGAGTAAGAACTTGAATCTCCAACAAATTGAGTGCCTTGATCTTGTGTTCTGTTGTTTGATTTATACATTTCAATATAGTAATCTTCTTGAACTTTGATATTCTTCACTACAAAAAACAAAATAAAAGTACATATTGGAAAGCTTAAAAAAACAGTGTCTTTCATAACAGCTGAAAAGTTGTAAGTTTTTGACATAGGAAACAATTTATACTGAAATTCGTCCAAGATGTCACCCACCGTTTTTGTGACGGATGCATTCTGACAGAGAACTTATCGTCATACAACCTTCTCATGGCAAATCGATCTAAAGATTTTTGAGCACTGCAAACATAAAAATTCTTCTTTGAAACTTAAACATACTATAAATTCAAAGCAATATCATTGTTACATGGTAAAATTTATCTTTTAAAATAGTGACTTTTATATTAAATGTATAGTTAACCTTACATTAGGATATTTATAACTGCAGGACTATACTGGCTGGATCAAGAGGTTTTCCTAGTGTGCAGTTTATCACAGTTGTAAAAATATTTTTGCAGTTGAAAATTCGCCTATATAAGTAAGATCAACTGAATAAGTATTAAAAAACATATTTAAGATTATAAAATTCCATTCCAGTGTTCATGAAAAAATGTATTTACTAGAATATTCTTCATTTTTTTATCATTTGTTACTAGGCCTGTATATACATGAGATGCAATAAGGCATCACATATTAAAAAATTATGAAGTTAAAATATAATTGTGCAGTTGAAAAAAATCCTTAGGAAAAGTTCTGGGTTAAGCTTCAAAGAATCTTAACCAGTACTGTGCTAGTCTTATTCACTCGAAAGTACATCTGTATCAAACCAGGGCTGGATCTCAAAGCTTTATTAATCATTCTTTGGAGAATTATAAATGTGCCAGGGATGAGGATTTGTTTGGCACAATACGTATGTATATGTGTCAATCTTGACTATATCCCTTTTAAAGGTGCAGCCATATAACACTTAAGCCAGACAGTAAATACTCTGAAACATAACTTTGTAGTAGTTCACTTAATTAGTAGAAGAATATCCTTGATAATCAAATGTCCTGGAATCCAGTCACACTCAGAAAGTCAATTTAGATCTTCCATTAAACTATTCTCATCCCTTACACTAAACCATGTAAGTGAAAGCTCAATTTTTTCATCACAGATACGTATGTTATTCATTTCATAACAAACTTCCTAAAATATAAAATTACAAGGTTCAAAAAATAATAAGGGTCTAACAGCTTCTAAATATTTTGAAGCAATCTAATCATTTTAAAATATTCAACACAGTATTCCATATTTGTTTCAGATTTGTTACCAAATGTGGTGATAGAATTTCTTTATGTGTCACAGAAATCATTGAAAATTGATAAATTGATCAGAAAAGAGACCAACTAACCTAAGCATTTCAGAAAGTGGACATTACTCCTCACAAAGGAAAGTCCACTATCAGAAAGTAAACATTACTCCTTATAAAGGAAATTTCACTTTCAGAAAGTAGACATTACTCCTCACAAACTAAATTCCACTTTCAGAAAGTAGACATTACTCCTCAAAAAGGAAATTTCACTTTCAGAAAGTGCTCAGGGTATTATGTTTCTTTTCTGATTCTAACTTTTTTCTGTCGATCCTATGTGATTTTGAATATCATTTTAATGACCACAGAATCTATGATATTACTGATATTACTTTGTTACTTAAGAGATTGGGCTTAAAAACTGTCTTAAAATTTGATAAGTTTTTTTATATTTCACTTTGAAATGTTAGGTCTTATGACTGACAAATTTTGATTACCATCTCCAATAATATCTTGTAAGGATAGTTATTTAGGTAAAAACTTGCCACTGAATACTTTAAAAAATTCTACCTGGCATAGATATTACTGTAGAGCATAAAACCTCCAATAACAACACCAACTCTTCCACTGTCACCCTGAAAAAAACACAAAAAAAACGACATTACCTTCAGTGAAGGATTATATTTTGGTGAACAATGATACAGCAGTGGTATGTAAGTCTCTACTTTTATCATGGTGTATGACAGCGTAATCTATTTGCCATTAACTTTTCACACCAAAATACATTATGATAGAATCTGACAACATTGAGCACCAGTGATTTACCTTACCATATGTATGAGCATTTTAAACTGTAGTTGGAAAAACAGTTGTGCAAACATTTAATGTTGGACTGTTGTGTAACAGATTTTACCTAAGTGTATAAACGTCTTATCATGGCACAGCTTATTGCATACTGGAAATAAAGTATTATATATGTCTTCCTATGGTAAAACTGTTTACTAAACTGACTTAAGAATTTTGTATTAGCATGATACAACAGCTTACTGGAACTAACTGGTAAATAAATGGTTGAGTACATTATACTAAAATGGTCTTAGAGCCTCACAATGTCATCATTACAGTCCATGTCACCACATCTTGACATTAGTCCTACAGTATAGTTTCCATTGAAATAAACATCATCATAAAGCTGTCACATCTAAAGCATACCACTCTTGTCTGCATGTTTTCAATAATCCATCTATTGTATAAATATGAGGATTTTCTTGTACCCCTTTCAACAGCCATATTACACAGAAATCCATAGGTGCTTCATTTAGTGACTTGACTTGTATGTCTTTGTATGGAACAGCATGAATACCCATTTCATTCTTCAGTTGCTTGAGATATACAATGATTGAACAGATATGTAATGGAAGCAAAATTTGGACACAAGACTTGTGTCACTTTCCCAGTTGGATTTTCTTCTTGTTTATGTTGCATACTGTTGCCTGGGGCATGTGGATGGCTTTTACCTCTAACCTTTGTGTTAATAGATTCACACCTGTTACAGACACCACACTTTGCTTATCATGGCTAGTGTACAGTTTGTTGCAGGTCTCTTTTTGGATGGTTCTGGTTCTCCAAGTTAATCCATATTCTTTTGTTTTCCAATAACATTAATTACAAGGGATATTCCCATCTTGAAAATCTAATCCTCCAATCTAAACACATTTTTATGATCTGAGTGTATGAATATTTTGCACCAGGATCTGCTGTTACATACTCTTCTCAAACTTGATCAATTAGAATCTATCAGAATGTAGTTATGATACATTCTATTCCATTATAATTTCATATCAGATGTGGTTACCATGTGATTTGCTGATTTGCATATTCAAAATTGTTTTAATAAAACGTCCTCAACCCTCTATGCTTTCCCATTTTACATCTGTTTGCTGTAACTGAGTTAGTTAATATGTCATAGCATGTTAGAGCTGTTTGATAAGAATGACTTAATAAATTAGTCTTAGCATGATACATCTGTTTGCTGGAATTTAAGAAATCTGACATAGCATAATGCAAACGTTTACTGGAACTTTGTAAGTACATTTGTCTTAACATGATACAGCTGTTTGCTGGAACTAAATTAGAAAATTTGTCTTAACATGATACAGATGTTTGCTGGAACTGAATTAGTAAATTTGTCCTACCAAGTTATAGTACAGCTGCTTGCCAGAACTGAGTTAGTACATTTTTTTTAGCATAATACAACTGTTTGATGAAACTGACTTAATAAGTTGCCTTATTATGATACAACTGTTTGCTGGAACTGAGTTAGTAAATTTGTCTTAAGATTGTACAGTTGTTTACTGGAACTGACTTAGTAGACTTTTTTAGCACAATATAACTGTTTGATCGAACTGAGTTAATATATAGTTTACACCACAATTTTAATATTTTCTGGACTTTAATAAGTATGCCTTATCATAAAACTACTTCGTGCTTAAATTAAATTAGAAGATATAATTTATAATGGTACTTTTATGTACTTAAATTCACTTAGAAATTATGTTAATCTGTAAATATATGTTTATGATAGAAACAAACCATGAATGTATATCTTAACAGGGTATTATAGTTATGAAAGTGATGTTCAAGTTATCTCAAAGGTTCATATTGCAGGCCTGAAGTCACTATCATGTTCTTCAAGTCAGTGTTCCAGGCTATGTGACCATTGTTGCAATAACATCCGGGAAAAGTCCCTTGTCTATGAGGATGTTAAGGGTGAAAACAGAGTAGTGTGTGTGATGCACATAGTTAGCCAAAATGCACAGGAACCCTAACTATTCAAAAGAAATAAAAGTGTCCAGTCACAAGAATGCCCCCCCCCAAGATAGGGGGCCCCAACACAAACACACACATCATTTCACCACTTCAGCAGTTTGTAGCATTGAAACAATAGAGTCTAGTGCCATGCTTTTCTGATATTATCTTAGATTAATGATTTTTGGTTGAAATGTGACAATATTTGTAAACTCCTGTGTATGTTACAGTTAAAGATTGTTGAATACTGACCACTGTTAAGTGGACCAATCAACTGGGATACAGTCTGACAGCTTTTACACTTTACATTTATATTTACTCTTGGTTACTCACCAGCAGTTGGTAGTCACATCTTTTCCAATAGCAGATTAATTATTTTTTAACTGTCGCTGTTATTAGGTTCTTATGACATGTCTTTAATACAGCAATATCACAAATTGCATTGACAGGGCTGAAATAGTCACTTAACAAGTCCCATATTCAGTCTCTTCAAAATTGCAAATAAATAAAGTTTCGAAAAAGTATATGGAAGATGAGCTCTAATAAAGTGACCAGTAACTTTATGCATTAGAAACTGAGTTAGTGTATACCTGCTTGAACTTTACCTTGGCATGTAGCACTGCTGTATGTTGGGGATCAGTCTTCAGCCAATTATCTAGTAAATCACAAACACTGCAGAGTTTTTCTAATGTTGGTGCCAAATCTGATGGCCATCCACAATCTTCTACCTAAAGTAATAAAAACAGACAAATGTTGTTACGTACTTGATTATTAAAATATTACATGTGGATCATCTATATATATATTTTGATTACATATGGATTACCTAAATTTTGATTACATATGGATCATCTATATTTTTATTACATATGGATCACCTGTATTTTTATTAGACATTGATGATCTGTATTTTTA